AATAGAAATAAGTGAACAGAATTCTCTGGAAAATGAGATTTTTCCAGATGTCTATGCTTGAGGTTGTTTGTGAGGTTAAGACTTGAAAATCATTAAACAGCAAACGCTAACTAATTCCTTTTAGTTAATTAGTTAAAACAGAAACAAAATGTAGGAATAAAAATTTCAGAGTAGTTAACTCAATAAGATAACAACTAATATTAAGTTATGCCAACTTTATTTTCATTTTAAGAAGCATCCCCTTTTAAACCTTAAGTTATCAAAAAGCATCACCAACCTTCATCATGATGATGATATTTGGCACAAAATTTTTTAAAAATTTGCTGACTCAAGCAAAAATTCCAAAAAAGACCTGATAGCCTGACATTTTGAGTTATGTACTATCATATATGACAGAGAACAACATTCAGGATGGTAGCAGGAGCCAGATCCATGTTCTTGCTTTCCAGTTATTCAATTGTAACTGGTGGAAATTATAAGATAAAATAGGTGTCTGAAAACTGTCCTAAAAGAATATAGCAACTGGTGAAACATTTATCCAAAAAGTCTTCTACATCTCAATAGGAACAGTGAGAGTAATTAGAAATTTGAACAACAAATCCACTCCCTCCTTATACCCAGTTTAGCATGATTAAAACTCCACTCTTGGTAGGAGCCACAAAATGAAGCTCCCTCTTCTCTCAGCAATCAGTCAATGGATACTACAAGGGCTGTAGAGCTAAGTCTCTACTATGACTAAGAGGTCATGAGCCCCCTCCCTTACTCAGCCCCCCACTATCAGAACAGAGGTTCTATGCCAGGCACAGTAGGCTGAGAATATTCGGCCTTGATCTCACCCATCCTAACTCACTAATATGGTGGGGGTTCCATGCTGAGAGAGGCAAACCACAAAGACAAGAGGCATCCCGTTTGCAAGTAGGAATGTCACACCATAAGAAACAGGCAACTAACCACACCACAGCTCTTAAACTATGGATGGCTCAAAGATTTTGCCTAGGGAAAGAGGCAGTCAATAAAAACAAAGAACACCAAGACTCTATCCAAAAGAATGGGTGTTATTAGAAAGAGTATGGGAAGTTCAAGTCTAAGGGTGCTCTGGAAAACAATGGGGATTTTTGTGGCAAGAAATTAAGAGGAGGCTATCAGCTGTCTGAGGGTAACAAGTTAAACTGCAGGTCAGGTGGTTTATGAGAGACAACCAAAGAAAGTGATAACTAAGAAGAACCCTTCTGGAATCAGAACAAACCTTAAAAACTAGCCTGAAAACTAACCTCACAAAGGAACCCAAATATAACTGAATCAGATGTGGAGCAGCTGATGCCCTGCAGCATTACCAAAAAAGAAAAAATGAGCCATTGGCTAGCAATGAGTGGAACCTAACAGCTAGGTGTGATACCAATGGAAGGAAATACCTTGGCAGAAAAATCAAGGAAAGAGACAGTCAAAGAGAACCCTATTAAATTACAGTCCTCTCAGAGTGACTATGTACATGATCAGGGCTACACTCTCTGAGAAACCACATTACAGGTTTCATAATACAAGAGTAATAGACTCAGTTAAGATAGTACAGATAAGTAACTGAGCAAATAAACAATGAAAGCAAGCCCAGAGGGGTGGTAAGGGACGGGGCAAAAAGGAACACAGAATCTCAGAGAAATATGGAACTCCATTAAGTGTGTCAATATATCATAATGGGTACCAGAAGAATAGAAAAAAGAGAAAGAAGTGGAAATAAATATTCAAAGAAATAACGGCTCAAAAGTTTCAAAATTAATTTTTAAAAAACCAACAACATTCATTCACAAACTTAACAAATTCCAACTTGGATAAACATTCACACCCAGATACATCACAGTACAAATGCAAGGGGGAAAAGAAATATTTGGAAAGCAGCGACAGAAAACTGATTTGTCATGTAGAAGGGAATCCCATTAAGCTTAACAGTTGGCATCTCAGCAGAAACAATAGAGGCCAGAAGACAACAGGATGTCATATTTAAAACTCTGAAAAAAAAATTCAATTAAGACTTTTAAATTCAGCAAAATTATCTTCTCAAATAAAGATAAAATAAATTCCATATAAACTATAACTAATAGGATTTGTTGGTAGCAGACTTGCTATATAAAAAATACTTAAAAAAAAAAATCCTTCTGCCTAAAACCAAGTGACTGCAGACACTATCTAAATTCACTCAAAAACACATAGGGCACCGATAGGTGTAACTATGTAACTATAAAAGACAGAAAAATGCATGTTTCTTCTTTTTCTTAACTTACTTAAAAAGTGACTGTATAAAGCAATACTACATAACTGTAATTTAGGCCTAGTATATATACAAATGTGTCATATTTGACAATGAGAACACCAAAGAGGTAAATGAGAACAAAGAAGTACTAGAGTAAGAAAATGATACCAGATGGTAACTGAAATTCACAGGATAAAATGAAAATAACCAAAAATGGCAACTAAGAAGGTTAACAGCAGAAACTCTATAAATATAATTCGTTCTTCTTTCTTTGCTCAGCTTCTTTAATATGCATACAATTATATAAAGTAAAAATTATAACATATCACTAGGTTTGCAGCATAAATAGGTATAATATATATATAACAATAATAGTATTAAAATGGGAAGGAAGTTATAGAACCAATTAGGATAACTAAACAACTCACTGTAATTGGGTCAGTATAAATCTGAAGTAGATTCTGGTGAATTAACATGTATACAATGAGCCCTATAGCAACCACTAAGAAAACAAACTAAAAAAACGCAAAAAACGAAACAAAAAATAATTAAAGCAATTAAAATAGCATACTAAAAAATGACATTTTTTTAAAACGTTAGTGATCAGGAGGAACATTTTATAATGATAAAAGGATAATTCCATCAGAAAGATATAACCATTTTTTTAATATAAATACGCTTTACAAGAGTCCAAAAGTGCATGAAGAAAAATCTGATGGAATTGAGATAATTCAACAATAATAGAAAATTAATACCTTACTTTCAATAATAGACAGAAATAGGCAGAAGATGAAGAAGAAAATAGAAGACTTGAACAATACTATAAGTCAAATAGAGCTAATAGTCAACTATAGAACACATCACCCAACAACAGCACAATGTATTTTCTTCTTAAGGACCTATGGGACATCCTGCAGGATAAATCATATGCTAAGCCATAAAGGAGGCCTCAAAAGATTTTTAAAAATTGAGATCATATGAAGTATGTTCTCTGACAATGTAGAAAAATTATAATTCAGAAACAGAAATTTGGGAATACATAAATATGTGAAAATTAAACAACACACTCTTAAATAACCATTGGGTCAAAAGGAAATCACAAGGCAAAGTATTTTCTAATATTTTGAGATGAAAAATAAAAGCATACTGCCAAAACTTATGCAGCTAAAGCAATGCTTAGAGGAAGATTTATCACTGTAAATGCCATTATTAAAAAAAAAAAAAAATCTCCTGTCTCTACACAATTTTTTTTTAATTAGCTGAGCATGGTGGTACACAACTGTAGCCCCAGCTACCCCAAAGGCTGAAGAGGGAGGATCATTTGAGCCCAGCAGTTCGAGGCAGCAGTGAGCCATGATCACACCGTCGTACTCCAGCTCAAGTGACAGAAAGATCCTATCTCCAAAAAAGGAAAAAAGAAAGAGAATCTCAAATCAATCATCTAGCCTTCTACCTTAAAATACTGGGAAGTACACAAACTAAATACAAAGCAAGTAGAAGTTAGGAAATAATAAAAATTAGAGCAGAGATTAATGAACTAGAAGACCAACAAAATCTGTTTTTTCAAAAAGGTCAACAAGACTGACAAGGCTTTAAGTAAACTGACCAACAGAAAAGAGAAGACTCAAAGTTTCTTAATTTACAAACCTGCTGACAGCAATATTATTTTACATATTGTCAGGAATATTAATTACCATGAAGCAGAGGCACTTATATAAGCTACGTGAAAAGGCACCACCTTAAATTTCAAGATCTGTAAAATTTGTCATTAATTCCCTCTTCATTTCTGCTTTGAGAGGCTTCTTCCCCAACTATAGGGTCCATCACATAGCTTTTACTTTTCTTTCTCATCCCACCATGAAAACAGAATAGATTTGAGATCAGCTATTTGCACTTTTGTTGATTGACAAATTACCCTTTCAAATTCGTTACTAAGAAAGAATGCTACTGAACAGCATTCAATTTCTGAGTCTGAGGTACCTAATGGTAGAATGAAAGGGTTTTCCACATTAAAGAATATTAAGCCTCCACACAATCTCACCAATAGAAACCACAAACTGAATTAAGTCGTTTTCAGTTCTTTGACTCAAAAAATACACAGTACACAAGCTTGATTCCTTCAATAAACACACACACATTTTTGAGGGTGAAATATGAAAAACTAGACCTTACCCTGAAAGTCATTTGAATTAGTACTTGCTATTAATAAATATGTTATATTTGTTTTCTTTGTATATTTCAGGTAAAGATGATAGGAGAATCCAAGAAGCCTCAGAAGTTCAGTGCAAGAACAGTACTTGGCACTTCAGTGCCAACCAGGTCAGGAGTGGAAAGGCTGGGTATATACAGTTTTGTTCCAGGACTTGAACACAGAGTCTACCAAAGGAGTGCCTGGAGTGCCATATGACTGGCCTCTCATTCATGGAAGGCTTCGGATCTAGTCTTTTGATCTTCAAAAGAGGCTAAACCTACAGCCACTGTTGGGAATGTGAGTGGTCTGTAAGATGTAAATGTGTATGTCACAGTTTTGTGACCATTCTCTGCCATTTCCTCATCATTGAATACTAGGAACCACAAAAGGGAATTATCCAGGACCTCTCTGCCTTCAGAGACTCTACCAGATGTCGTCCCAATGTGGTCCACAGCTACTGACAGATCCTGACACTTAGCAAGCCCTTACATTTCCTCATTTTGTCACAGTTCTAGTCCTTTCTCTCCCTGCCCACAACTCCATGATGAACCTTCTTTGCTTCCATTTTCAGAGATGTCTGGTGTGAATTTTATTTGTATTTAATACTTTCATTATTACAACCTCATTTCAACACATCTAAAAATTCTGAACAAATACTTATTCCATCATTTTCTATTATTTCTTAGATATTTTGCATCACAAAATCCCTCCAAATTGGGACTGTGTTATTGAAGTCATGAGTGTTACAACAACAGTAATAACATTTATTAAGTGTTTGCTTTGTGCCAGGCCCTCTACTGCTTTTCACAAATTATCTCATTCTGTCACATTTAACTGCAGCTAGGTACATACTTAAATTGGCTAGTAGCACTTAAAATAAGAATGCTGTTGGTCGTCTTTGAAAGAAACATCTTACCATACCATACCAAAGGTGAGTCCATAGAATAAAATATTTTAAAGTCTTACAAAGTATATAACACTAAATTAATATAGGATACTATTAAATTTATATTCCTATTCATGGAAGATAAAACTATTCCTGGTACGTTGTACCTGCCTTCTTATCCTATTATTCCTTTCTCAAATTCCTATAAACCACAGCTTCAAATATGTGCCAAACAAATGACTAGATTTATATATTCAGCCACATCCTTTAACTAAGAAAGTAATAAACAAGTATTGTGTTGTTGCATTAACTCTCAACATGTTTTCCATGACAAAGCACCTGGACATTAATTGCCATATGGGTACTGAAAAACAACATGAGACATGATTTCCACTAATCCTTCGTGTGTATTTTGTATTTTGAAGCTCTACGCTGTTCTTGATCAAAACTCTTATTTTATTACCAAGAATTGCACTAGTCTCCAAACAAGTGACTTTTTCTGTTGGAGATGTGAAATGAAGAACTACTAACACTGGAAATGAGTTTTTCCTGTCTCAATATTAACATATGATATATATTCATATTAATAACCCTGGAAACTAGTTTCATTTCTTCTGCACATAAGCAATAAACAATATTGAAAAATATATATCCTAGAAGCAGTGATGTGGATATATAACAGGGGGTTTCTTTGGAATGTACAGCCATTTCTAGTATTTCATTACAGCATGTATACAGGCAATTGTCACAGATGTCCATCAAAGCTGGATTAGATGACGATAAACAATGCAGGCTTTGAGGATAAACTGAAGCTGCAGTTCAAAAGTTTCCGTTTCTCATCCAAGGGCACTGTAGGACCATTGTCTTCCTCCTTGTGGCAAAAAGAATGAATCAATTATGTTACTGACATGCCTCCACAGCAGACTGAAAAGTCTTTTCACAGTCCAACAAGACATAGTAAAAACTAAAAATTTCCTAAGAAAATTTCAAAATCCTCTTCATGCCCAAGTTATCATTGCAACTCAGCCACAAATTTTTATCATAGTTTTTATTCCTATGACAGAATCTAGTAATGTCAAAGTTCACAAAAAACAAATATTTCCAACCAAGATAAATAAATTAATGCTGGAACTATCTTATAAACAAAAATGTGAATGTATTATGTATGAAAGAAAGCTTTACTTTCTTGTCATTAATTTCGTGTGTAATAATCACAGATGGTAACTCAAGCACCCAGAGCACTTCCTAATCTAATGGCTTTATAGTTCTATTAAATAGACAAATAATAAACACAGACTAATACACGAGACATAGCATTTTCTTGAGACAACAAATGGCATACTTCCCATACACGAAAATGACATCAGCTAAGATTTTAGTTCATTGATACTTCACCAGCTGATATTGAACTAGTGGTGCCAGCAATGGTAGCAGGAAACTGGCACTCTTATCAGTTGCCTACAGTGAACAGGTTTGATATTTTAGGCAATAAGTATCTATTAAAATTTAGAACACATATGCTTTTGGACTTGGAATTATACTTCTAGGACCTTATACTACAGAAATAATCATCCAATATACAAAGATCTTATGTATAAGGATACTCACTGCAACGAAAAATTGAAAATAAACTAAATGGCCTTACTTCCTTAATCAATTGTAATACAATGGAGTATTTCAGAATTATCCATATGTGGCATATATATCTGTATACACACAGATACACATACATGTTCACACATGTGGATGTGTATACATATAAATATATAGCATGTCTGCAGCGATTTATTTTAAAAATTTATAATGCTAGGTTATATATTTTCAAACTACATTTCAAATAAGTTAGTCACAATCAAACCTTTTTAAAAATTTTATTTTTGAATGTTTTAAAATTGATAACATTATGTATTTATTGTGTACAACCTGATGTTTTAAAATATATATACAGTGTGGAATGGCTAAATCAAGCTAATTTACATAGGTATGACTATATAATTATCATCTTCATGGTGAGAACACTTAAAACCTCTCTTCGTACTTTTCAAGAATGCAAATGTTGTAATTAACTATAGTCACCATGTTGTACAATAATAGATCTCTTATTCCTCCTAACTGAAATTCTGTAACCTTTCACCAGCATCTCCCCAATGAACTCCCCATCAAATCTTTAAGATTATGTCTCAAAGATACATTTCAAAGGTAAAACACTATTTATATGTATATATCAAACAAATATACACCTACAAATTATAAATAAAAGTGACATGAAACTGATAAAATTGTAAAATCACAGCATTTCAGAGATAATAAGGTCTAAAGGTCACAATGTATGAATTTTCTGCAAAAGGAAATAACCTGGAATTCAGCATTTCCCAAAATGGCTTCCATATAATAGTACATGTCAGCTGAAGAATGAATCCAGGTCCAAAAACATCGCAAGCACTCTAGTAAAACATGGTTAATTCAAAAACCATCTGAGTCTAAACATGCTAACGTGCATTTGTACACCTTCAAAAAAATAAGGATATTACATCCAGCACTCTCTGGATATATGTGGGCAGTTACCACATAATTTAACAAACATTTTGGAGGACAACTGCACTGCAGAACTCATTTGGGAAAGGTTAGTCTAGAGACACACATACTAGGTTTATGAAATGAAATTTCATTTTAAGAATATATCCAAATTCTAAAAATTAAGCTGCCATGATCTAAAACATCAATTAAACAAAAGATGGAGCCAGGTGTGGTGGCTCACACCTGTAATCCCAGCACTTTGGGAGACAGAGGCGAGAGGATTTGTCTGAGCCAAGGGTTTGAGACCAGCCTGGGCAACACGGCAAGATCTTGTCTCTACAATAAATCAAAAAATTAGCTGGGCGTGGTGGCACATGCCTGTAGTTCCAGCTATTTGGAAGGCTGAGGTGGAAGGATCACCTGAGCCCAGCAGGTCGAGGCTGCAGTGGCCGTGAGCGTGTCACTGCAACCAGCCTGGGCAACAGAGTGAGACTCCAACTCAAAAAAAATTAAATTAAAAAATAAAAATAAAAAAGATGAGTAGGTAAATATGTAGTCTCTCTAATCTTACAAGGTCAGGTCTTAACCCAAAGCAGAAACATTTTAACATTAGCATACTTTCCACAGTGCAACAAATGCATATGTACACTGGTGTCCCACTCACTTGTAAAGCTCTCAGGGCATGATTCAGGGGGTTCTCAGTAAATGCTGAATGACTTCTAACTTACCTAGGTGTGAAATCTGCTGGTGAATTTGGGTATTCACTCAGGTAAATTCTTCCTCACAAAGGAAACAAAAAAATAACACCCTGTGCTTATTGAGTCCCCCCTCCCATATATTTTTCAAACAAACAAAAAAACGGAACCTTCCAATGTCAAGGCTTTCTGAAGATGATCTTTAAATCAGCCCTCTCCTACAAAATGTACACTCAACCTTGTTTACTGTAGGTAGTAGATTAACTGGAAAAAGTTTTCAGTCGATCACAATCTGAGGTATGGACTTAGAATCAAGGAGCCCTGAGTTCAAATTCCAGCTTTTCCACCCAATTGCTCTAAGATTTCAGGTAATTTACTTGCTCCTTCTGAGCCTCAGATGACAACATCTACGGAATGTGTGAGAATATATTATGACAGTGGATATAATATGCCAAGTATAGTACGTTCCAGGCACATAACTGAGCTAATATTGCCAGCTAATTTTAAAGACATCTCACTAGCTGAAAATTAAACTACAATGCTGTGTCCCAACATAAACGTGAAGTACGGCCATCATTTTCCATAGCATCAGATATGAAATTTACTTTTCAGTGTTTCAGAGAAACTTTTCATGGAATGAAGTGATGATTGGTCTTATCTGCACTGTATTTCCAAGCTCCAGCCCAATACCTGACCCAAAGCAAATGTACACTCATTAAAAAGTGTAAGAAAATGACAGTAGCAATGGCTCCTATTTTGACTTTTTTATTTGTATCAAAACTATATATGCATATCATTTAAAAAGTTAAACAGTTCTAAAATATTTGTTATAGTAACTATCAGTCCCCTGTGTCATCAATTTTCACTCCTCCAGTCTTTTAGCTGATTATTTTAAAACCACAAAGCTAAGTGGTATGACTGTATTGCTACTTTTCAATTTTCTGTTTTAGGATTACGTATTGATTTTCCCTATGGCGAACGAAGACCTGCTCTTCTTTCCTCCTGTCAGCATCTCTCTCTCCCACGTGTGTGCACATGCGCGCGCGCACACACGCTACCCCATACATTCATCATGAATCCTTTCTATCACCTCCTCCTCCAAATATGGTCATTTAGTAATTTTGGTTGGATCAATATTCGGTTTCTATTATTTTAATGCTGTAAATGTTATTCAGAGCTGAATCTTCCGTTCCTGCACAACTTTTCGTTTTCTCTGGAGTGAATAAGCACCTTGGGTTTTTTCCACCTTGGCGTTCTATGTACTCATAACTAATTCAATTCAAAACTGCCTACCAATTGTCGAATTCCTCTCTCAAGAAGACATACCATGCACTGTATTAACTTCAACTTCCGGGAGAAAGCTCACCTAAAACCCTTTCACCTGCTCATATCTGGACTGACTGCCCACTATGCCTATTTCCTCATTCCATCATCATTCTGGGCATTCCCTTTGCCTTTCTCTTTTGCTGAATCTCCTGTTTACTGGCTCCCACATCTTTTTCTTGCTTGGCTTACTCTATTTTGGTGAGGCATGTTTAGTGGTTTCCTGGAAAAGAAGACATTTTCATGACTCTGATAACTGAAAATGACTAGTCCAACCATACATGTGGTTGAGAGTTTAGCTGGGTAAGGAATTCTATGTGGCTTGCCAAGGTTCCTCAGAATTCTAAAGGTCATGCTCACTGACTTGTAGCTTCCAGTGCCGCTGTTGAGAAGTTTAATATTCAAATTCCAGGTTCTTTGATTTTGACCTCTTTATTGTTTTGGTTTTTGCCTTTCTGCAATTTCTTCCTCAATGTTATGAAGTTTCACAATGATGGTACCTTGGTGTGGGTGTATTTTGATCAAGGAAGTAAGTGGGTCCTTTCAAACTGTAAATTTATTCCCATGAGTTCTGGGGAAATGCTTTGAATGGTTTTGTTGCTGGATTTTTGTTTTCTTGGTTCTTTCTCTAGTCTTCTTCTTGTGCGAATAACAGACCTACTGGACTGGTCCTCTGACTTTCTTACTATATTCTAGTTTTCACCTTCTTGCCTTTTGTTCTATCTTCTGAGAAGTTTCTTCACTTATGCCTTCTGATTCTTCTATAGAACTTCTCATTTTGCTTTGATGTTTTAAATTTCCAAAAGTTCTTTGTTTTCTGATTATTTCCTTTCTTAACAGCAGACTGTTGCTTCATGGTTACAGTTTCTTCCCTTACCTGTCCAAATATATGAATGATGACTTCTTATAACTTTTCTATTTATTTAGCTCACCTTATTCTGTTTGTTTTGAGCTCTTTCATCTTAGTCTTTCTTCAAATATCCTTAACTGCTCAAGAGTGTGAAATGACTACTACAACAAAACCAGAGTGGAAGCTAAGAGCACAGAGTAGGCCCATCTGCCATGCTTCCACTACAAATGAGCTCATTGGTCCATTTCTAGAGAGAAGTCCCTTAGCTGGTCACGTTCTCCACAGAAAATCCTGTCAGCCACGTCTGGAGTGTAGAAGCCTTTCTGCCAGTGTATTTGGGGTGAATGTCGGTATGAGGATATTACTTAAATCATTCAATTGTGTGTATGTCTTCTAGTACACAGATTCTCCCTTTCTCATCTCCAAAAGATAAGTAACTTTAGGCACCCACCAAGGCTTGGGAGGGGACTACTGGAAATACAACTG